CTCCTTGGGCGGTGTGTCCCTCTGCTTGTCGGGGCTGCTTGTCTGGAGCTTTGCGGCCTAGTCGGCGTGACCGACCCTGGGGCGCCATGGGGGGCGGCGGCAGCGCACCCCGCAGAGTCACCTTCGAGGCCGACGAGAACGACAACATCACCGTGGTGAAGGGCGTCCGGGTGAGAGTCGCCGCCGGGGCTCTGAGGGGGCAACCCTTCCCTCCCTCCCTCCTTCCCTCCCTGTGGTTTTTCAGAGTCTAGAAAAGTTACTTTTTTGGGTGGGATGCTGTCTGCCACAGGCGACGCGGCTTGTGACTTCTGCTGGAAAAGTTACTCTGGAAATCGTTACCCCAAAGTTACTTTCCCAAGCTCTGGGCACTCCGTTACTTGTTCGTTAATAATTCGTTACTTCTGTTCTGTCCGGCGCCTCGCTTCCAGCTCCAAGCAGCCTGACATGGCTTTTACCTTCCTGCCACTTCGTCTTCACAACAACCTTTCAAAGTAGGCGAAGGAGCGAGAGAGAAAGAAGGGGGGGGTCCCCTTCCAAGGTCATGGCTGGCCATTCTGTGCCTCATTGTGGACTTGAATCTTAGGTCTCAGCTCACTGGCCTAACCACTGAACCCAACTGCTTCCCAGCCTCCCGCTAGCTTTGGGTCCTTCGTATATCTTTGAAACAGAGAAGGACCCATACAGTCAAAAAGACCAAGGTCATAGAATCATGGAGTTGGAAGGGATCTATAAGGCCATTGAGTCCAACCCCCCCCCCCACTCAAGGCAGGAATCAAAATCAAAGCATATCGATTTTCCTGATTTTCAGCCTAAATCTGGCTTTCTGTAATTTAAGCCCATTATTCCTTACGTGGAATAATACATATAGTTAACCTGTGGAATTTGCTAGTAGGAAGCATGGGGATGGCCTCTGGTTTGGAGACGGGTTGGAAGGACATTGTACACCAGAAATTTGGATTCACCGGCAGTGAATTCCTTGGGTGGCTTGATGATTAGGTGTGAAACTTTGGTGGAGGTTAATAATCTCAACGAATTTCCATTGTGGTGGGGCGAGTGACAGACTTGGATGCAAGAGACTTGGTTTTGAATCTTGTCTCATGGAAAGTCACATGGTGGAGATGGTGGTGGAACTGGTACAATAAAACAATTGTGTGCTGTTAAGTCAATTCTTTCCAGGGTTTTCTGGGTACAGAATACACAGAAGTCGCTTTCGGTTCCCTCCTGGGAGGCACCCAGGTTGGCTCTTCTTCCAGGAGGCATAGTGGGGACTCGAACTCCCAACTTCTGGCTCCTTAGCCAGATACTTAAACCACTGAACTATCGGGCCAGCTGGCACTGGTAAGACCACTTCTTAAATCTCTCACTTACCTTGAAGACCAATTATGGTCTTTGTTAAGTTGGATATGACTTGACAGTACGCAACACACAATAACCACACTGACCTAGTACTGCACTGGAAAACAACTTTAATGGACAGTGTAGCCATGTTGGTTGGTGGTTTCTAGAAGTGGCAGTCCAAATATGTAATTTTGTCCGCTTTGTGATGGATGACCTCTGCGACATGCCCACATCTGTAGGCATTGCGTTGGCTGTGGTGGAAGTACAGTGATGGACTAGATAGTCCTTGGGTCTCATGCAGTATGGTTCATTTTGGGGTAAACAAGCCTAGATAACCTCGTTAATTATGTCTTCAGGCTATTTCTAGGCTCTGCGGTGTTGTGTCCCTGAATGGAGCCAAGTGGGTGGGAACTGTAAGGAACAGGAAGCTTAGACCTTCATTGATCTGATCCAGGAGGAATCTTGTACAGAACTGTGTTAGGCTACAAAAAAGGGAGAACGCACACAAAAGCAAATTGTAGAATGTTGTTATAAGACATTAGTACAGTATATGGTTACATACTGTATATACTCAAGTATAAGCCTAGTTTTTCAGCACAATTTTTTTGTTGAAAAAGCACCCCCTTGGTTTATGCTTGAGTCAGTGTCAAAATTACATGCTCCCCCCTGCAGTGTGGGTGTTCTCCAGACTCCCCCGCTCATCTACGGGCGCCTGCAGCTTCTGTAGGTGGTCTGATGACCCGGGTTAAGTACAGTGGTGCCCCACATGACAATGATAATCAGTTCCATAGAAATCGCTATTTAGCGAAATCATCGTCTTGCGAAAACCGTTTCCCCATTGAAATGCATTGAAACCTGTTTAATGCGTTCCATTGGGGGAAAAATCATTGTTGTTTTGCAAAGATCGCCTGTAGGGCAGCCATTTTGCAAAGCGCTGATTAGCTGTAAAAATGGCTGTCCTACGAAGCATCGGTCCCGAAAACATAGGGAAGCCATTTTGTGAAGCCGCCGATCAGCTGTAAAAATCGTTGTCTTGCGAAAAAGTGGTCCGCGAAGCACGGACCAAATCGCCCAGCGAAACCACTGTTTTGTGAATCGCTATAGTGATCGCAAAACCTCATTGTCATGCGGATTCATTATTTTGCAAGGTCGTCGTCTAGTGAGGTATCACTGTGCACTGCATTTCTGCTTCCAGGGCACTCCCATCCTCCTCCTTCTGCATATTCTATGTACCCACCTTCCTCTTCCCACCTTCCTCCTCCATCCTCCGTCTCTCTCCATCTTTTTATGTAGCAGTAGAGCAGTAGATAAGTGCAGCGTCCGGTATGAATTCTCCCTCCGCAGGCAGTGAAGTGTGTCTCGCATCTTCAAAAAATTTAACCTACTGATGCCTCAGTTAATGTAATTTTATTGGTATCTATTTTTATTTTTAAAATTTACCAGTAGCTGCTGCATTTCCCACCCTCGGCTTATACTTGAGTCAGTAACTCCCCGTTTTTTGTGGTAAAATTGGGTGCCACAGCTTATATTTGGGCCGGCTTGCACCCTCGGCTTATACTTGAGTCAGTAACTTTCCCCAATTTTTGTGGTAAAATTGGGTGCCACGGCTTATATTCGGGTCGGCTTATACTCGAGTATATACGGTACTTGGTTTGAATCCTTTATGCAACCCCCTGCACTGTGAGTACCAAGGGCTTAGCAGGGGCTTTATCCAACAATGAAAAACATGAAGCAGGGCCTTTGGATTAAAGTTACCTGTTTGCCTATCTTCTTCCGTCTCAACACCTCATACTGTGAACAACTGGAGTAGAAATTCTGGAGGGCAGCCAGTTTGTCATTGCGATTATTATTGTTTGATGCCTTCTGTCAGTGGGAGTTTTTTTGGAGATCCAGAAGTACAAAAAAAGAGGTGTCCTTCTGCTACTTGGGTTGTTTCTTGTTCGGCAGCTGTTGCCTTCCCCCTTTGGTTTTGAAGTGGCAAGGAGCCAGTTCCACGATCTATACCTCCACAACACTGTGTATTTCAACTGGTTCTGAACATCTGCAGCAGTTCCTTGTCTCCCGTTGCTTGGATAAGTTTCTCTTTCTGCTTTCAACTTCACAGATCTCCCTTGGAAGAAAAAGTAGCAAGCCCTTTTCCACTGTTGCCTTTCCAATATACTGTAGTGTGTACATGTGGTGGTAACTTAGTTGAGCACTTAGCAGCCTTATAGTGCCATGCTCACTTATCATCCGTGAGGTCTAGGAACCCTGAAAACAGCAATCCTCAATAGCGGTGTCTTAGTGAAATCTCCATGTAGTTTGCTGTTTGTGCTATTTTTTTAATAGCACTGCATCACTGGGCTTTTTAAGAAAGCTGTCATACCAGCCTGGCTGTGTATTAATGCGTCTTCATTTTTAGTGGGTGGGGAGTGTTTGGGGATTTTTTATGTGTGTGCATGTGGGTCTGGTCTCTGGGTGTCTGTGTGAATTTCATTGTATGGGTATACTATGCATATACTTGTTTGTTTGTTCATTTAGTCGTGTCCGACTCTTCATGACCCCATGGACCAGAGCACGCCAGGCCGTCCTATCTTCCACCGCCTCCCGGAGTTGTGTCAAATTCATGTTGGTTGCTTCGATGACACTGTCCAACCATCTCATCCTCGGTCGTCCCCTTCTCCTCTTGCCTTCACATATTCCCAACATCAAAGTCTTTTCCAAGGAGTCTTCTCTTCTCATGAGATGGCCAAAGTACTGGAGCCTCAGCTTCAGGATCTGTCCTTCCAATGAGCACTTGGGGTTGATTTCCTTTAGAATGGATAGGTTTGTTCTCTTTGCAGTCCAGGGAACTCTCAAGAGTCTCCTCCAGCACCACAATTCAAAGGCATCAATTCTTCGGCGGTCAGCTTTCTTTATGGTCCAGCTCTCACTTCCATACAACACTACAGGAAAAACCATAGCTTTGACTATTCGGACTTTTGTTGGCAAGGTGATGTCTCTGCTTTTTAAGATGCTGTCAAGGTTTGTCCTTGCTTTCCTCCCAAGAAGCAGGCGTCTTTTAATTTCGGGGCTGCTGTCTCCATCTGCAGTGATCATGGAGCCCAAGAAAGTAAAATCTGTCACTGCCTCCATATCTTCCCCTTCTATGTCCCAGGAGGTGATGGGACCAGTGGCCATGATCTTAGTTTTTTTGATGTTGAGTTTCAGACCGTTTTTTGCACTCTCATCTTTCCCCCTCATTACAAGGTTCTTTAGTTCCTCCTCACTTTCCGCCATCAGAGTGGTATCATCTGCATATCAGAGGTTGTTGATATTTCTTCCTGCAATCTTAATTCCAGCTTGGGATTCCTCCAGTCCAGCCTTCCGCATGATGTATTCTGCATATAAGTTAAACAAGCTGGGGGACAATATACAGCCTTGCCGTACTCCTTTCCCAATTTTGAACCAATCCGTTGTTCCATATCCAGTGCTAACTGTTGTTTCCTGTCCCACATATAGGTTTCTCAGCAGATGGATAAGGTGGTCAGGCACGCCCATTTCTTTTAGGACTTGCCATAGTTTGCTGTGGTCCACACAGTCAAAGCCTTTCGCATAGTCAATGAAGCAGAAGTAGATATTTTTCTGGAACTCTCTGGCTTTCTCCATAATCCAGCGCAAGTTAGCAATTTGGTCTCGAGTTCCTCTGCCTCTTCGGAATCCAGCTTGTACTTCTGGGAGTTCTCGGTCCACATACTGCTGAAGCCTACCTTGCAGGATTTTGAGCATAACCTTGCTAGCGTGCGAAATGAGTGCAATTGTACGGTAGATGGAGCATTCTTTGGCACTGCCTTTCTTTGGGATTGGGATGTAGACTGATCTTGTCCAATCCTCTGGCCACTGTTGAGTTTTCCAAACTTGCTGGCATATTGAATGTAGCACCTTAACAGCATCATCTTTCAAGATTTTAAATAGTTCAACTGGAATGCCATCACCTCCACTGGCCTTGTTGTTAGCCAGGCTTTCTAAGGCCCACTTGACTTCGCTCTCCAGGATGTCTGGCTCAAGGTCAGCAACTACATTGTCTGCGATGTCCGGGATATCCAAATCTTTCCGATATAATTCCTCTGTGTATTCTTGCCACCTCGTCTTGACGTCTTCTGCTTCTGTTAGGTCCCTCCCATTTTTGTCTTTTATCATGTTCCTCTAATATCTCCAATTTTCCTGAACAGATCTCTGGTCTTTCCTTTTCTGTTATCTTCCTCTATTTCTTTGCATTGTTCATTTAAGAACGCCCTCTTGTCTCTCCTTGCTATTCTTTGGAAGTCTGAATTCAAGTTTCTGTAACTTTCCCTATCTCCCTTGCATTTTGCTTCCCTTCTCCTCTCTGCTATTTCTAAGTCGGAAGGACCCTTCGGAAGGGTCCTTCCGAGGCTACCGCCGGCATTTTCCCCCAGCTGAGCAGCGGGGCTCCCGCTCAGCTCGGGGAAAATGCCCCCTCTGAAGGGGAATCGCGGCGGTGGCCTTGGAACTACCCTTCGGAAGGGTCCTTCCGAGGCTACCGCCGGCATTTTCCCCCAGCTGAGCAGCGGGAGCGGTCCTTTGGAGGCTCCAGCCACTCAGCTGGGGGAAAATGCCAGTGGTAGCCTCAGAAGGACCCTTCCGAAGGGTCCTTCCGAGGCTACCGCCGGCATTTTCCCCCAGCTGAGCAGCAGGAGCAGTCCTTTGGAGACTCCCGCCACTCAGCTGGGGTAAAATGGGGCCTATGGGGAAAACATCGCAAAGCGATTTTTCCCCATAGGCAACATCGCAAAGCGATGGCAAAAGAGATTGCTTTTTTGCCATCGCTATGCGGATTCATCGTTAACCGGGGCACTCGTTAAACGAGGCAGCACTGTATTAGTTCTGTGGATCCATCTTTTGAGTTTATGGAATTTTTATTTTGGTGGCGTCACCCAGACACAATTTCTTGGCCATAAGGCCTTTGGCATTCTTATCTTATTTTAATCAGGTGTCAATTAAAAAATGTTCGATTTGCCGAGGCTTTTAGGGATATTAGATTGTGAACAGATTTGATAGAGAGGGGGTATTGTGGAACTTTAAAGACGAACAGGTTTTATTTCACATAAATATTCATAGACTGAAGCCCGCTTCTGCAGATATATAGAAGCGCAGCCTCAAAAGGATTTTCCATTTAATTTCTACTGAATGTTAGACCAGCTTCCATCTCTTAGGGGGTTACAGTACGAAGTGGTATCTTTATGATCTGTTGTGACCCTCTTGGCAGTCTCTCTGTTGGGAAGGCAGGGTATATCCATGTTTTAAATAAAAACAGCCATTCTTATGGGCCTGTCTGCCTGGTGTTAGGAAACCCTGACCTTAGCTACGTGCTACCCATTTAACTGTGTTCTCTCCTTCCTTCCTTGACCTCTCTGGTACCCTTTTCTATTGTCCTGACTCCTCCCTCTCATTTCCCAGAAACACTTCTTAACCTAAAACCCCTAACCAGCAAATCTTCAAAAAGCTAAATGAAAAGCAAATGATGAAACAGGGACATGTTGGGGTGGCACCAAAGGAAGGGTTTGTTCCTTCCGCTGCTTTCACCTGACACCTGCTTTCTCTTCCTCTCTGCTATTTATTCTTTGATTCTTCCTATTCCCGTTGTTTCCCTCCCCTGTAAACATGTATGCCTGTTTTCCCCCTGACATTGCCCAGCTTGAAGGCCCTCTGTTTTCTGGGGGAAGAGTAGCATAGAAGGTGTAGATTGAAACTCCGTCGCATCTGGCTGGCTGTTAACATCATCCAGTTGATTTCTCAAACTACCAGGAAACCTTTCCTGTGGGTGGTGTAGTGTGAGTTCACATCACCTCTGCTCTTCGGGAACTAACAACTGTAGAAATTTGCTGTTTGTGCTCGTGAACCTGATATACATTCAGCTTCGGGAGTACTTCAGTTCTTTTTCTTTGATTTTCCACTAGCTCTTGCATCCTCTTCCAAGCCTCTCAGATTTGGAAGGAAGTCTACTATAGTATTTGTTCCGATGTGCTCACAAGTCACTCCTGACTTATAATGTGCCTGATAGGGTTTTCAGGGTCGGCAAGTTGTGGTTTAACCATTACGACCCCCTAGTGAGTTTTCATGGCTTCCAACCCAGGTCTCACGAATCCTAGCCTGAAATGTCTGTTCTAATTTTCCACCAGCACTGAGCAGAAACCCTGCCTTGCACTCACAAAGTTTTGGCTGCAAGCAGAACCAAATGAGAGGCAAAACTGTCTGTGAGTTTGTGGCACCAATGCAGCGCTGCACATCTGAACAGCCTAGAGGGAACATTGCTAGTCTGTCATTCTGTCCACTAAACCAGTGATCCCCAAACCTTGGGCCTTCAACTCCCAGAAATCCTGGCCAGCAGGATGTCCAAGAACATCTGGAGGCCCAAGGTTGGGGGATGACTGCACTAAACCATGATGGCTCTCATTGACTTACTCTTTTATTTAATAATAATCATGTGCCGTTAGGTCAATTCTGATTTACGGCATCCCTTTTCAGGGTTTTTCTGGTAGAGAAGACTCAGAAGTGCTTTACCTTTACCTTCCACTAGGGGCACCCTGGGACTGTGTGCAGCTGGCCCAAGGCCACCCAGGCTGGCTCGTCTTCCAGGAGGCTCCATGGGGGACTTGAACTCCCAACCTCTGGCTCCACAGCTGGATACCTAAACCACTGAGCTATCCAGCCAGGCACACTTTTATTCCACTGGATTATGCTGAGTATTGTAGCCAGTGCCTGCGAAAGCATGGGGCAACCGTTAAGACTCCTCCATGTTGTAAAACTGAGAGGAAGATACTGAGGATTCTCCTGTGTTTTTTATGCCAGTTGTGTCTAATGTATTTCCAAGCTGCCAGTCAGAAAGAGATGGTGAATATTTACTATTATCAGTTTTTATCACTAATGAACGGCAAGGCATGCCTGTTGGGTGCATGATTTAATAGTGTTAGAATGTGAACCCAACAAGCCTCATGGAAGTTAAAGTGAAACAGGGAAGATTACCTCGTGCCTGGAGGCAGAACAAGGTGCAATATGTGGAATATGTATTTTGATAAGTTTGCTTATAAATATTTGCTATATATTCTGTTTCTCTTCAGCTATCTGAGAATGTTATAGAGCGTATGAAGGAGCCTTCTTCACCTGGCAGAAAGTCCCAGCCGAAATCTGGTTCTGGTGGTGGTAGCTCAGTCGGGGGTACATCAGGTATGTTTCCATTATTCTAAGATTGATAAGTAGAAGTTTCGGAATATTTCTGAATATATTTTGGTCAACACTCAAGTGATTATAAAAAGTGGAACCTGATGCGAACTGCTGCTTGCTGCCTTATGGGAGGAATGAGTTGTGCTTCTTTTTTTTACAACACTTGGCTTTGACAATTAACAACACTGGATTTTTCATGTTTTTGTGTGTCAGTTGTATAAAACAAAAGTTTGCTTTCTGCAGTATTTTCCCTTAATGTGCTTTTCAAATGTGACACTGGAACTTTTAGTTAAGCAGACTTAGAGGTAAGTCTGCTTAACTGATAAAAACGGATCCGCCTTTTAAAAGCAACTCAATACGTATTCATGTACAGTGGTGCCTCACTAGACAGTTGCCCCGCATGACAGTTTTTTCGCTAGACATTGACTTTTTGTGATCGCTATAGCGATTCGCAAAACAGTGATTCCTATGGGGGAATTTCGCTGGACAATGTTTGATCCCTGCTTCGCAAACCGATTTTTGCTAGACGACGATTTTGACAGCTCCCTCCGCGCTCGCAAAACAGGTGTTTTCGGGACCTAAGCTTCGCAAGACAGCAATTTAAACAGCTGATCGGAGGTTCGCAAAGCGGCTTTCCTATGGCTGATCTTCGCTAGACAACAACGATTCTTCCCCATTGGAATGCATTAAACAGATTTCAATGCATTCCAATGGAGAAATGCTTTTCGCTAGACAATGATTTCACTAAACAGCGATTTCAGTGGAATGGATTATCATCGTCTAGTGAGGCACCACTGTATGTATGATGCAGGCATAATTTGAACAAGGTGTGATATAGTGGAACTGTATTTCCTCGGTATCTTTTTCAAAATATCTATGAAATTATATATATGAAATTATGTATGAAATTTTATATATAATTATATATATATTTAAAAAGATACAGAGGAAATACAGTTCCGCTATATCGCACCTTGTTCAAATTATATAAGCATCGTAATTTCTGCATCATAATATATATATGAAATTATGCAAGACAGAATGTGCATACACATCTCTGTATAGGAATGCTTAAATGAGTTTGCTAGGACTGGAATGTAGTATTTGCATGACAAATGATTTTAATCAATCGGAATGTGTCTGGAGTCAGCCAGGCTGCTATATAAGGCAGGTGTCAGTTAGAAGCCTGTTAGACAGGGAAAATAACATAACCAGAAGCAGGGTCTCACGAGGGAGAGAACCAACTATGAAATAGATAGGATCTCATATAACAATGTGTACCTCAGATAATGAATAATATACGACAAGAACTAAAATATCTAATAGGGCCACATAAGGCTTACTAATGGAGCAATATTATGAGAGAATGATGTAATTACCAGAGAAAATATGTCTGTCCTACCAAATGACTAAGCACTATAAGTTATGTTATATTTTATAATAATTAGTAAAAGTTATTTCATGTTTTAATCAAGGTGCAAGGGATTATTTTCTTTTGCTGACACAAACACACTAAAGGGAGCGCACACTAAATTTCACTCTGTACAAAAGTGGATTTTTTTAATCTAAATGCTTCAAATTGCTATATACAAGCTCTGCTAATTATAGGTTATAGATTGTTTATGATAGCCAAATGCCAGGATGTTTAAGCGGATAAGTCCACCTAGGATGCTTAGCAGTATAAAATTTGCAAAAAGGCAAACAGATTTGTCCACATGTTGGGAGAGACAAGGCTGACGTGAGGATCAGTGTTCAGTTCATTAGTGGATTCTCTTTTATGGGACTGGATCCTGCTTGCATTTTGGGTTCCACATAGTTCCCTTTGACATTGCCCACCTCTGAAATGTGGCCCTCAAATATTTTCCCGAAATTGAGTTAGGCTGTCAGTCTGAGAAAGATTCCTCACACCTGTAGGAGGAGGAAACAGCAGGGAATCTAAGCTTAAATCGAATTGCCAGTCCCAACTGGAGTAGATCCATTGGTTCAGTGGGATTTACTTAAATATCGATTTAATGTCAGACAGTAGACTCAATGGTCTACTCCACTGGGGATTAGCATCTGGATTTAGGGTCCTCTTTTAAGTTAGGTTTGTAGGCAGCAAGATAGACAGTTGCAAGTTATCAAGACGTTTGAAGCTTTTTGGTAATAGCTCAAGAGGAGTAATAGCTTCTTGTCAAATGATAGCGCTCGGCAATGTAAAATGGATCCGTTGACCTGAGAAGGAAGAAAATTGAACTTAAAACTGTAATAAAAACGGTGAAGTCTGCTCCTTACAAACCTCCTCTCCCAGGTATCTGAGTAGCCTTAAACACACTGAAATATTTAACAAGCACAAAATCTTTAAAGCATATCCGTCATTCTTTCCTAGGGTCTGTGTGATGACCAGTAATTTGATCAGTCTAGTTTGAATGCCTTTTCTGAATGTTATGTGTTCAAAGCAGAGCTTAGTCGTAATAGACAAAGGTAATAGCTTAATTTATCTTTAAGCATTGCCAGAATCTAGAAGAGATAATGTACTATTTTAGAACAAAAGGCCCCCCCAAAAAATAAAAGATTGCTAAAAAGGAGATGTCTCTTGCTGCAGGCCAGTTGTGAGACACCGTTGCTGTAATCTGTTCCTCTGCGGTGGAATTTAAAGAGATTTCTGTAGGTGCCTTTAAAAAGAGCGCTTGGCCGTTTCTGACTTGCCCTCTGTCTGGCGTACATTCTGAGGACCTGTAACTCGTCTCAGGACTGGATCAGGGTTTGAACCTGGGCTTCTCTGGCCGTGCCTGGTGCTGTCGGTTCTGTATTGTTGGTTGTCTCAGTTGGGCTCCAACATGAGCTGCCTGGATAGGTGAATTTTACTCCCCTCCCCCCAATAAAAATATTGCTAGTTGCTGTTTCTTGTTGGCTCGAGAGGGAGGACACATACAGGCTTCCCAGTCTGGTGGGCAGAGGGATTTTGACATTGGGAGCTCCCTGCTCTGCAGGTTTCTTTCCGGACATAACGGTGCCTCTGTGTTGTGCTGTTGTGCTTTCTGCACTGCACAGGGATGTGGGAGGAAGGCTGATGATCTTCGATGCGAAGCCCCTGGGTGTGTGTGTGTGTGGGGGGGCAGTGGGAGGGCAATTTTTCAGTTTTTCCTGTAGGAAAAAAAATGCATTTAAAGGCAAGGCTGTACTCATGCAAATGCCAGGAATTGTGGAGTATTGAGATTTATATACAAGGCAGTCTGCAGAATTAAAGAACACTGATTCCTACTTGTAGGATTTTCACGGGTATGCTTGTTGTTTGAACAATTTTGTCCCAAGTCTAAATTATGCCATCCAGGATGTAGGGCGAATTTCTCTTTGTAACCTAGCCCTTAACAGTGTCTTTTTTTCTTTTAATTTTTCCCTACATCCTTCTTCTCAGATGACAGAAACTGTGCACAGAAGTTGTGCTTCGGTACGGTAGGGTGCAGCAGTTGGCACCAGTGTTTCGTCTAAAGCACCTTCAAAAATTTGTCGGTGCAGAACTAAGGCTTTTCTGTTTTCGTCTAAAGCACCTTCAAAAATTTGTCAGTGCAGAACTAAGACTTTTCTGTACTTTAAATTTCATAGGTTTGCCAAAGAGTACAATTGTATATGCTGACTAAATCATGAACGAAGCATTTTATCTTGGTCTTTATTGTACCATGTAAACCGCCCAGAGTGGCCTGGGTTGCCAGATGGACGGTATAGAAAATGAATGAATGAATGAATGCTGCTAAAGCAGAAAAAAATTGGTTCCTTATGTCAGGGGTCCCTAACCCCTGGTCCATGGCCTGGGCTGGACTGGGCCACAGAGAAAGATCTCCCACCCCCCGCATGCCCTCCCGCTCCCCCGCACAGCTCCTTCATATATGCACACCTGCGAGAGCACTGTCCTTTGCAAGTGTGCGCAGGTGCCTCCTGAGTGCCCCCGCCCTTTGCGCATGCACACGAGCGAGCCCACTGCTCCTTCGTGTGTGCACCTGTGTGCACGCAAGCACGGGGCGGGTTCCCCCAGCTTCCCCAACCGGTCTGTGGAATTAAAAAGGTTGAGGACCACTGCCTTTCCTTAAGTAGAGGGTCCACTGTACTTTAAATTTCATAGGTTTGCCAGAGAGTACAATTGTATATGCTAACTAAATCATGAATGAAACATTTTATCTTGGTCTTTATTGTACCATGTGAACAGCCCAGAGTTGCCTGGGTTGCCAGATGGGCGTCATAGAAAATTAATTAATTAATTAATTAATTAATTAATGTATGTATGTATGTATGTATGTATGTATGTATGTATGTATGTATGTATGTATGTATGTATGTATGTATGTATGTATGCTGCTAAAGCAGAAAAAAAATTGGTTCCTATGTTGCATATATTTAAGTTTCCCTCAAAATTTTGTTTTTGCCTAGGAAAGCAAACCAAAATGAACAGCTTTTCTGGGAGTTCTGTATTTCTCTGTGGGCTTGATTGCCCATCCTTTGTAGTTCTATGATTTTCTGTTTCCCAGTTGTGGCTTTTCCAATATTACTTTGTCTCTGCATTTTCTAGGGGAAGTGCTATGAGTTTCACGTCTGGGAGGAAATAAAATGTGTTTTCTAGATTCCTTTTTGCAAAAACATGAAGAATCAATAATAAACAGATTTAGATGTCATAATGGTAGGTCTTTCCGTTCCTAATATAGCATGACACATTCTGTTTAACTCAAGAAAAAAGGAAGATTTTCCATAATAATTTCAGGTAATAATGCAGCTATCCCAGATTTATAGTCAAGAAGAGTGTAACACACAAATGTGTAAACAGATTGAACATCTATCAGCTGTGGCCACTCTGTGGTATGAAGTTGAGCCATTTTGATATGAAAGCTATATTAGTTTTTGTATTTATTGAATGAGCGGTTGAGGCAAAGGGACACGGATTCCATCGAAAAAAGATAAACTTAATTTCTCTTGCAGCCACTTACATTTGCATCTAATGGCCCCTGCTCTTATAAGTTGTACAAATTTGTCTT